GATCGAATTTTCAGTAATGTGTAGGTGATTATCGATATCGTCGATTGTAAGTGTTTGATTAGGTGGTGCTGTTCTTGTATAACGTTTTTCGAGATCTTTTGTGTATTTTTTTCATTGTGTTGATTTGAATCTATGTCTATAATGTGATGTCTCATAAATTAGGTTGTCTAAAGAATCTGCTTCAATGCTTATTTCCATTGAGATTGCATTGTGATCGCTGTCGTACTCCAGGCATTTTAACTTATTGTTCTTGATGGTGGATACGTTGATTCTTGAGTATGCTATCTTTAGATAGGAATTACTTGGTTTGAAGATGGGGTACACTGGTGGGTAAATGGTAGCTTTGTAGTTTATTGAGTCTTGCTCAATCCATTTATTAAATAATAAACCTCGTTGGTTGTTTTTTTCGTCGCCCCATTCTTTATTGCGGATATTTAGGTCGGGAGGTGTAACGTTCTCACTAAATTTAAAAATATTATAATCAAATTTTGTTTTAAAAATTACAATTGCTTTGCTGGTGATGAATCAAATTCATAGTCAGCGAAGTAACGAAAATCGCTTCTGATAAGAGAATCGTTGGGCTCTAGCCTAAACATCGTGAGCGCTGGACTCCGACGACTTGTCTAGGGTAACCTAGGATAAAACGTTACTGATTCAATTAATTGTTATAATTCTTTGTATTCTGGATACAAATCCAGAGCAGTCAGCCCACGGCAGTCAGCCGACAGACATCTTAGCTCCGGACGTATGTCCGGAGACTGACTGACTCTAACCAAATTATTAAGTTTTACAATATATCTTAACTAACGAAATTCTGGTGATTCATTCAAAATTAAAACCTTTATAAAATAAGTTAAAAATTAAGAGAGAGCTGCGCAACGGGCCCACCTAGGGCCTATTGACACCCTAATGAGTCCAACCTGGAGAATCAATGATAAAAATCGTTTAATTGAAAAAACCAAATTTTTCAGAACATATTACACCAGCTATCACGCAATAGTTTTTTGGATCTGTGGCCCCAATTCCGTCCAGAAGGGTACTGAGTTCGTCCAAGAATAATCTTTTATTATAATTGGTAGCGTAGGCGCTGATTATATATAGTTGGGAATTGTTTTTAAGTTGGGATTTTACTATTGTAAACTCAAATATAGAATTAGCAGCTGATCTAGGAAGTGAATTTTTTCGTAGTTGAGGTTTCTTTTTAATATGATGGCTGTACCTCCACCTTGGATTGCTCCTGGTGATCGGTTCTTATGACGTCGTAGTTTTGGAATTCGAGAGTGTAGTTAGGGTTCAGCTTGGGTTCGGAGACTAATATTAGATCGAGCTCCTGGGTGTCAAGTAGTTTTTGGAGCTCATATCTTTTTCTGTTGTGAATGATCCACAGATTCGGTAGAATCTGGCGCCAAGTTCCGTTCAAATCCGTTGTCAACGGAGCGCCAGACTACCGACTGTGTTTAGTGTAAGCAGAACGGTATTTTGAGGTTGCAAAATTTTATTTAATTCTACGGTACTTTTTTTTTCCTAAATTGTATATTATAACAGTAATTCATACTTTATTTTACTGTTATTAATTAATTATATTCACTTATAACAATTAATCTACTTGAAATTACTAAATTTAATCATCACAAACTATAGCAACGCAAAAATTTCGATCCTGACTTTTTTTCGATGGGCAAAGTGATCTGCCACAGACTAAATAATTCGAAAATGCATAGTAATCCTTCATTAGATGGGAAACTACAGTTAAAAAAAGATATTTCACAGCTTGCATCTACACCCGCCAGGGTGCGCTGGAATTATTTTTACATAAACTGTAGCTTTAAGGGAATAGTTTGCTATAAAAAATGCAGCCAAAGCGAGATTAAAGTTGGTACCAATTGTAAATTTTTATTAAAATTACAAAAAATACTAAAAATCCGAACAAAAACAGTTTCACTCTAAAAAAAATCGCGCCAAGTCCACGTTCATAAAGACTATTAAGAAAAAAAAATTAGTTTTTTATTTACAAAAAGATATAAAATAAAAAAAATTAAAAAATCCAAGTAACCGATATGATTATTTATGATTTTCGGAAATTAAAAAAAATTTGTTGTAAATTTAAAAATTAAAAAAAAAAATTTGGAACGTAGTTCAAGGTAATTACTCAAAGAATATGTGTACCAATTTTCATCAAGATCGGTTGATGAAAATTGGTATGCGTCATATTGTGTATTTCAATTTTTTTTAAAGTCCTAGTAAATAGATTTTACGAATTTAATTAAAAGTAAAATATTTTGCAACCGCGCACACTAAATACGTTCCAAAATAGTTTTTTTAATTTTTAAATTTACAACAAAATTTTTTTAATTTCCGAAAATCATAAACAATCATATCGGTTACTTGGATTTTTTAATTTTTTATTTTATATCTTTTGTAAAGAAAAAACTAATTTTTTTTCTTAATAGTCTTATGAACGTGGCCTTGGCGCGATTTTTTTACAGTGAAACTGTTTTTGTTCGGATAGAATTTACATTAATTGCTATTATTTTTAGTGAGTTGGTATATGTAATTATTTCACTACTTATCTTGTTTTCGTTGATGGAGTGAGGTGTTACTCCCACCATTGAAAGATTTCGTTGATGTGAGCAGTATTGGCGGCTACCTGTTTGGCTAGTTGTTTGAGCTGATTGTGGACCATGTTCATTATTTCTGTTTTAAAGACTTCAAGCCAGTTTAGTAGGTTGAAGTTTTCTTGATGAGGTGTACCTGTTTGTTGAGCATTTCGAAGTGGTGGATTATTAGTTTGGTAGTCATTTTGGTGGTTAACTTGGTGGTCATTTCGATAGATGTCCTGGTAGTTATCATGAAGGTTTGTTGCCATGTTGGCACACGCATTCTGAAGATTTGCCATTCTGGATGGCTTTCTTTAGTTGTTATTTTTAGAGGCGGAGTTTTTTTCGTGTAACAGGGTTGCGTTTTTGTAATAAATGCAACCTTTGTAGTTAGCTGGGTGTCCTGTTTGGCGGCAGTTTGCACATTTTATGCTGTCTTTAGGCATTGCTTTGGTGATGTTATAGTCTTTGGGCAGGTGGACTTCTCCGCGTTTCACGCATTTCGGTGTATTGCTGCAGTTTTGGTTGATGTGGCCAAATCTTTGACAATTGTGGCATTAGAATGGTCCTCGTTTGCGAGGTTTTTGCCATCTTATTTTTTGTGATAGTAATTATTTCATTCGGGTAAGTTCAACTGAGGCTGTTGCTGGTAACTTGTACTATGAAGAAGTAGCTGTTATCATTTTGCTTATTGTAGGTTATTTTTGTCACTTTGGTGATAGTAGCTCGTTCAAAGTTCTAGGCTAGGAGTGCTTCGTTAACGTCGTTTTTGTCACAGCCACAATAAATTCTTTTAACCCTTTAGAGTCTGACCTTGAAACCCCACTCTTGGGTCTTACTATGGATTTGCGCTTTCCCCACTACTCTCACGCGAAGACGTTTCAAGATCCTCGGACTCTAAAGGGTTAAGCACCAAGTTTTTTGGTTTAAGCTGTTTTGGAGTGTATGTATGATGCGAACTTTATTTTTTTTTAATAATTAATATTTATTATTTTCAACTGACAGTCATTTCTTAAAATTTTTTAATCCATTAGAATTAAATAAAAATTTATATGATAGTTATTCTTATTACAGATAATTAAGTATATTTAAAAATAATTTAGAGTGTCAATATTTAGATCACTGTCAATAATTGGGACATTTACCTTATATGAAAAAGTCGATAGATATGTAAGAAATAATCAGCAAATATTATATTCAACAACGCAATTTTGGCAGTATTAAAAAATTCATAACTTCACTACAAGCTTGATTCCCTAGCTCAAATTTTCAGGGCTTTTTAGGAACATAAATAAAGCAACTTTTATGAAAGTTTGAAGGAAATCAAAATTCGGAGAATAAAGTTCTAGCCATCTAAAAAATGCAATTTTTTTAAACTTGATTAGTTTCAGATGGCTATAACCTCACTTAATAGAAGCAACCAAGTAAAAATTGCATAGATTCTATTAAAGTATACCCCAATAGAAGACATTAGCTGCTGGGCGACCCTTAACTTCAAACACTGTACATTAGACTGGGTAAAAAAAAAACCACTATTTTTTTTTTAAGGTACTGTGAAAATATCGTTCACGATGATGAAAAAAAATTATCGTGAAAGTTGAAGCCCTTAATAATCATGGTAAGGGGTGTATCGTTACGACTATGAATTTTTTAACAGCTACTGCATTATTTACACAAAAGTCGTACATCATCAATTTTTTAAATCATTCCATGCTATATCCTTGAAAAAAATTAAATTCCCTACAAAAAAGCTCTCTTAGTGAATTGACATAGGACGAGTCGTTGTAATCAAGCCTTAAAGATTAATTTATTTTTTGCAATTTTTTAATTTTGATTCTGGATTTAGGAAACCACCATAAATATCAATTTTTTCACAAAGCAAACTTTTCTGTAGTATATTTTAGTATTCTGTAGTATAATTTCATGCTCTACAAAAAAGGTCTCTTATCATTTTCCATCAAATTCACTCCTTTCAAAGTTATTCGTCTTTAAAGTAAAATTTAAAAGTGATTAACCGTTTATTTTGCGTTAGACATAATTGGTTTCTTTTGTTTGATAAATTTTAGACTTAAAAAGTAAAAATACTTTTTTTTTCTGATAAACATGATTTTTAAGGGCTAAAACTTTCACGATAATTTTTTTTCATCATCATGAACGATATTTTCACAGTACCGTTAAAAAAAAATAATTTTTTTGGCCCAGTCTACTGTACATATGCAAGTGTTTAACAAATAGGTAAAATTCAACCAAAATAGATCGTTAGAGGCTGTCAGCTAAGCCCTTTATGAGTTTAGACCAAACACTTATTTTTTTCTTAAAAGTAGAGAGTCTACTGAGAAGAATGTCAATTGGTAGTAGTCTTTAAGTTATGTAGAAGCTGAGATATAAATTATTGAAAATCAGTGAAAAAACGACTTGTTAAAAAATTCAAAAAATTCTCTAGCGGCCAAGTTTGATTATATCGGGCCCAAATTTTCAGGATTGTCTTCTTTTAAGGTGTGCTTATAAGGAAAAAATCAGCATCAGAATCGCTGACCTAAGTGCGCACACTTTCGTCGAGAATCACCGGCCGACATGATTTTTGTTGTCCAAGATATAATCACTTTTTATCTTCCCGCTAAGAATCTCAGATTTTCAAAAATCGGGATAAGCCCGAAAACAGCCATGTCCTGACAACATCTGTGTTAGGTAGTAGTTGACCTCACCGTGATTCCGGTTCAGCCAAATGTCGATCTTTGGTATGAGACGATGCGTCCATTTACCCTTCTCTGCGGCATCCCATTGAGATTGCCATCGTGCGATGCTGTGCTGTTTTTGTTCCGTTCTGAGTTCTTCTGCGCTCAGTGTTGTTGACCTCTTTCGTTGGTAAAGGTTCCGTCTTTCTTCAGCTAAGACTCTGAGAGGTAGAGTTCCAGAAATGACGCACACTGTTTCCTCAGATATTGTGCGGAAGGCGCAAGCTACTCTTAGGGCACTCAGACGATATACTGGTCCAGCCTTTCTCCATGCTTCTTGTAATTCTAGCGCATCAGCCCAAATGGATATTCCGTACGTAAGCACTGATGTGACTACAGTTACCAACAATAGTCTTCTACTCTGCTTTGGCCCGCCGACGTTAGGCATCAATCGTGCGAGACTAGCCCTCACTACTGACGCTTTGGCACTGACGTGTTCCACTCGCTGTTTAAAGTTGAGACGGGCATCAAGCATCACTCCCAAATATCGGATATAAGGTTGTGATGTAATTTCTTGTTCGCCGACTTT